TCTTTCCCCCTTCCTGCTTGATTTTTCACCACTTGTGGCAGAAACAGCTAATTTCCTTCAGTGTGCAGTGTCCCCTTGGCCCAGCTCTGTCGTCCGTGGGGCTAGGGCCAGGATTCAGTTTCAGCCAATGGGACATGAGCAGAGTGTTGCCTGCGTCCTCTGGCTCAGGCTCCTAAAGACTGGACTGCTCACTCCCCACGCCCTTCGTCCATCACCCACTGGCAGAGACTGGCAGCAGCCGCAGCGCCCCAGGACAGCGAGGGAACACAGTGCGTAGGGGTCCCCTGCACCTGTCCTGGGTCACTCGTGTGGAACTTGGGAGAGAACACTGTGCTACCGTATCCAAGCAGCTGTGCTAGGAGTCTCCGTTACGCCAGATCATCTTGTATCCCAACCAATGCCCATTCCATCTAACGACCTACCGTCTTTCTATCATCTACCTAGCTACCATCTAAACGCCGAGGTAAGGGCTTTAAGAGGTGGTTGGATCCCGAGGGCTCTGCTCTCATTTGTGGATGAATAGATCAATGGTTATCAGGGAGGGGATCTGATGGCTTTGTAAGCGGAAAGGAGTCCTGAGCTCTCATGTGACCATGCTCAGCCCTTCACCGTGTGATGCCTGCGCCATCTCCAGACTCTGCAGAGACCCCACCAGCAAGAAGACTGTCACCAGATGCAGCCCCTTGACCTTACACTTCTCTGCCTCCATAGCTGTAAGAAAATCCTCTTTTATCCCAGCCAGGTATGTTGTCACACACCTGTAGTCCCAGCTACTTGGGAGGCTGAGGCAGGAAGATCACTTGAGCCCAGAGGTGTGAGGTTACAGTGGGCTGTGGTTGCATCATTACCCTCTGGCCTGGGCAGCAGAGTGGGATTCTGTCACACAAACCAACAGATGAATAACCCAGTCACAGGTATTCTGTTGTAAGCAACAGAAAACGGACGAAGACATAAAGTTGGTACTGAGAGTGGGTGCTAACAACCAACCGAAAATGTGGAAGCGGTTTGGAAACCGAGTAACGGCCAGAGGCTGGAAGGATTCGGAGGAGCAGGCCAGAAAACACCTGCTTCTGGGGAGGGCTTAGAAGACAAGACTAGGGAACGACTGGACCTCCTTCGAGATCCATTAAATGGTCACAGCCAGAATGCAGATAGAAATATGAGCTGTAAAGGCCATTCTGACGAAGTTTCAGATGGAACAGAGGAACAAGGTGTTGGAAAATAAAGGTCATCCTTAATAGAAACCGACAATAAGCTTTGCTGAATTGAGTCCATGCCCACGGGCTTTGTGGAAGGCCAAACTTGAGAGTGGAGAACTAGGATATCTAGAAGAAAAAAAAACAGAAGGAGCTGCTGGTAGCATGCGAGGTGGCTCACACCTGTAATCCCAGAACTTAGGGAGGCTGAGACGGGTGGATCACCTGAGGTTGGGAGCTCGAGACCAGCCTGACCAACATGGTGAAACCTTGTCTCCACTAAAAATACAAAATTTTTGTGCTGCCAGGTGTGGCAGCACATGCCTGTAATCCCAGCTACTCGGGAGGCTGAGGCAGGAGAACCACTTGAACCCTGGGAGGTGGAGGTTGCAGTGAGCTGAGAGCATCCCACTGCACTCCAGCCTGGGCGACGAGTGAAACTCCCGTCTAAAATTTTAAAAATTTAAAAAAGATGGAACTGCAGATTATTTTTGGCCTCCTATGCTGAGCTTTGCTAAGCAAAGGAATAGTTTAAAGACAGAATTTGTAATTTAAAAGGAAGCAGAGTGGAAAGATTTGGAAAACTCAGCCTGGTCATGAAGAATAAAGAAGTGTGTTCAGGAGAGGAAACCACAGGTAAGCCCAGTGCAGTCTGCCAAAGACACTAGCTTGGGTAGAAGGGAGCCAGGTGCAGTGCTCCCAAGACAATGAAAGGCCCAGCAGGCATTTCCGGTTCTCGAAGCTGCCTCTTCCAATCAGAGGCTCAGAGGCCTAGGAAGGCAGAATGCTTTCAGGGGACAGACCCCGGGAACTCTCCCCAGGCTCGCCCAGGCCCACTTTAGGACTCTGCTCCCTGCACTACAGCAGAGAGAGAGCCCCGAAGTCAACCAGCCAACGTCCAGGCAGCCCCCAGGTGTGAAAGATGCCCCACTCCAGAAGGCTCAAGCCCTAAACCTTGGTGGCATCCCTGAGGTGCTAATTCTCAGGCTTAGGGAAAGCCAGAGCTGTGAAGGTTTGGCAGACTCCATCCAGATTTCAAAGGATACCATTTAAAGCCTAGGGGCCCAGGCAGAGACTTAGAGCAGGGGTGGAGCCACTACAGAGAACCCCTACTAAAGCAATGCTGAGTGGAAATGAGGAGTTGGAGCTGCTAGAGTCCCCATCAAGGTAATGCCTAGTGAGCCACAGGAGTGGGACCACCACTGGGACCCAAGGACTGTGGAGCCACTGGCAGATGCAATGCTTGCCTGGAAAAGCTTCAGGCACCAGACTCTACCCCCAGGAGGTGGAGCAAAGCCATGAGTGTGGTCACCTGAGGCCTTGGGGACCCAACGTGGTGTGTCCAGGAAGCAGCCCATGGAGTCAAAAGAGACAATTCTCCAGCTTCAGGATTTAAGGCCTTCCCTGCAGCATTTTGGACTTGCTCGGGCCCACTAGCCCTTTCTTACTGCTCACCCCTCCCTGATGAAGTGGGGATGTCTGTTTTTCGCCTGTACATACCACCATCGTATCTTGCAAGTAAATAACTTGTTTTCATTTCACAGGCTCACAGATGAGATTCTGGACTTTGGACTTTTGATTCCATGCTGGAATGAGTTAAAATCTGGGGACTCCTGTAATCCCAGCACTTTTGGAGGCCAAGGCAGGTGGATCATGAGGTCAGGAGTTTGAGACCAGCCTGGCCAACATGTTGAAACCCCTTCTCTATTAAAAATTTAAAAATGTACCTGGTGTGGTGGCGGGCACCCATGCTCCTAGCTCAGGAGGCCGAGGCAGGGGAATCATTTGAACCTGGGAGGCGGAGGTTGCAATGAGCCGAGATGGCGCCACTGCACTCCAGCCTAGGCAGCAAAGCTAGACTCCGTCTCAAACAAACTGGGGATTATGGGATTGGAACTGATGTGTCTGTGAGAAGGATATGAGTTTTGGGCAGAATACTACGTTGAGTATCTGCTCCTCCAAAATTCATGTAAGAATTTCATCCCCAATATGGCAGCACTGAGGTGGGGCCTTTAAGAGGTGACTGGATCATGAGGGTGGAGCTCTTATAAATGAATTAACCCATTACAGGCATGGGCACAGTGGCTCATGCCTGTAATCCCAGCACTTTGGGAGGCCAAGGTGGGTGAATTACAAGGTCAGGAGTTTGAGACCAGCCTGGCCAACATAGTGAAACCCCATCTCTACTAAAAATACAAAAAATTAGCTGGGCATAGTGGTGGGTGCCTGTAATCCCAGCTACTTGGGAGGCCGAGGCAGGAGAATCGCTTGAACCTGGGAGGCAGAGGTTGCAGCGAGCTGAGATCGCGCCACTGCACTCCAGCCCAGGTGACAGTGAGATTCTGTCTCAAAAAGAGAAAAAATCTGCTCATGGATTAATGACTTTATGGGTTATCATGGAAGTGAGCTTGATAAGGAGAGAGACCTGAGATAGTATATTCAGCGCTCACCACATGATGCCCTGTGCTGCCTCTGGCCTCGGCAGAGTTCCCACAGCAAGAGAGCCCTCACCAGGTGTAGCTCCTGGACTGTGGACTTAGCTTCCATAGTTGTTAGAAGTAAATTCCCTTTCTTTATAAATCACCCGTTCATGTATTCTTTTACAAGCAACAGAAAAAAGCCTGGACAACTGGTAAATGTCCAGCTACACTGATCAGGAAAACAGAGAAGAAACAAATTACTAACATCAGGGAAAAAAAGAGCACATCCTTTTAAATATAATTAAAATAGAATGTAAAGGCCGGGCGCAATGGCTCAAGCCTGTAATCCCAGCACTTTGGGAGGCTGAGGCGGGCAGATCACCTGACGTCAGGAGTTCGAGACCAGCCTGACCAACATGGTGAAACCCCATCTCTACTAGAAATACAAAATTAGCTGGGCCTGGTGACACATACCTGTAATCCCAACTACTCAGGAGGCTGAGGCAGGAGAATTGCTTGAACCTGGGAGGCAGAGGTTGTGGTGAGCTGAGATTGCACCACTGCACTCCAGCATGGGCAACAAATGCGAAATTCTGTCTCAAAAACAAACAACAAACAAAAATAACAAAAAGAATGTAAAATAAAATGTAATAAAATGTAATGGAATATTCTGAACTTTGTGCCATTAATTCAGTTTTACACTAAATGAATACTTGAGAGATGAAAGTTACCAAACTTCGCACAAGAAGGAATAGAAAAACCTGAAATGTTATAGTTGTTTTAAAAAACTGTATTTATGGCTGGGTGCAGTGGCTCACTCCTGTCATCTCAGCACTTTGGGAGACCAAGCTGGGCAGATCGGGAGGCCAGAAGTTCAAGACCAGTCTGTGCAACATGGTGAAACCCCATTTCTACTCAAAATACAAACATTAGCCAGATGTGGAGGCAGGCACCTGTAGTCCCAGCTACTAGGGAGGCTGAGGTGGGAGAATAGCTTAAACCTGGGAGACAGACATTGCAGTGAGCGGAGTGACACACCACTGCACTCCAGCCTGGACGACACAGTGAGACTAGGTCTCAAAAAAAAAAAAAAAAAAAAAAAAAGAACAAATGGACAAAAGAAAAAAATTGCATTTTTAATTTTAAAAAATCTTCCCACAAAGAAGTACCAGGTTTCTCCAGAGTGAAATCTCGCAAACATTTAAGGAAGAAATAATATCATTATTACATAAACAACTTCAGAAAACAGATGATGACAGAGTAATTCACAAATCTTTGGGAGTAACAGTATCCTATCAAAACAAGGATGTACTCTCACCAATTCTAAGGAAAACGGAACAAGATATCCTACTCAGTACAATGAGAAAAAGGAACAAAGTCCATATGAATTGGAAAAGTAAAATTCTTTATTCACAGATGATTATCTACATCGAAAATGCTAAAGAATCTAGAAAAAAATCTACTGGAACTAATAAGTTAACTGATCTAGGTTGCTTGATACAAGGTCAATGTACAAAAGTCAAATTCATTTCTACATACTAGCAATAACTAGAAAATAGCTTTTTAAAAACCTTACCACTTGCAAGAGCATGCAGAAATATTAAATACATGAATTTAACAAAATGTGAGACCTGTAAACTGAGAGAAATTAGAGATCTAAATAAATGGGGCACTATACTGTGTTCAACAATTGGAAAGCTCAGAATTGTTAAAACGTAGTTTCTCCCTTAATTGATCTATAAATCCCAGAAGGCTTTCTTTTTGTAGAAATTAATAAAAGTTGTTTTCTGTTATTGTTATGATGGAGTTTTGCTCTTAGTTGCCCAAGCTGGAGTGCAACGGCGTGGTCTCCGCTCACTGAAACCTCCCCCTCCTGGCTTCAAGCGATTCTCCTACCTCAGCCTCCTGAGTAGCTGGGATTCTACAGGTGCCCACCAACATGTCCGGCTGATTTTTTGGTATTTTTAGTAGAGATGGGATTTCACCATGTTGGTCAGGCTGGTTTCAAACTCCTGACCTGAAGTGATACGCCTGCCTCAGCCCCAAAGTGCTAGGATTACATAGGCATGAGCCATGTGTCCAGCCTGAAGTTGATTAAAAAAAAAGGAAAAAAAACAAAACAAAACTGAAGCTCTTCCAGTACCTGAGTATGATACTTATTGTAAAACTACAGATGGCCAGGAGTGGTGGCTCACACCTGTAATCCCTTTGGGAGGCTGAGGCAGGAGTTCAACACCACACTGTTCCACATAGTGAGACCCTATCTCTACAAAAAATGTAAAAATTAGCAAGATCTGGTGGTGCTTGCTACAGTCCCAGCTACTTGAGAGACTAAGGCAAGAGGCTCACTCAAGCCCAGATGTTTGAGGTCACACTGAGCTATGATTGTGCCACTACACTCCAGCCTGGGCAACATAATAAGACTCTGCCTCAAATAAAACTACAGTAATCAATAGTGTTATATTGGTGTAAAGCTATACACACAAGAAGATAAGGATGGTGTCCAGAACAGACCACGTCTATGTCACTTAAGTTGGGAAAGTGGAGTCTTTCAACAAACAGAACTGAAACAAGCAACTATCCACACAGAAAAAAAATCTTGGTCCTTATTGCATATGGTACACAAAAATGAACTCAAAATGGATCACAGACCAAAATGTAAAAGGTAAAACTATAAAAGTTCCACGAAATAAAAAACATAGGAAAAAAAGCATGTACTTTGAGTAGGCAAATTTCTTAAACTCAAATTATAAAATCTCATGAATCATCATTATTATTTTATCTCTCTCACAGCAACCTCTGCCTCCTGGGTTCAAGTGGTTCTCCTGCCTCAGCTTCTCAAGTAGCTGGGACTACAGGGGCACAACAATGTACCCAGATAATTTTTGTATTTTTAGTAGAGAAGGGGTTTAACCGTGTTGGCCAGGCTGGCCTTGAACTTCTGGCCTCAGGTGATCTGCCCACCTTGGCCTCTCAAAGTGCTGGGATTACAGGCATGAGCCACTGCACCCAAATCTTTGATAAATTAGACTTAATAAAAAATACTCAAGACACCATTAAGAAAATGAACAGGCAAACCAAACATGAAAGGAAAATATTTATATTTGTCACAAATAGGGACAAAGAATTATATATGTTATGTAATACATGTTTTTCATCTAGAATATGGAAAGAACTTGAGCCAACAATAAGCAACCCAAGTTAAAAATAGGCAAAAGATATGAACAGACACATCACAAAAGATGACACAGAACAGCCATAAGCAGATGAAATCATAGGCATACATTACTCAGTGCACAAATACAAAGTAAAGACTAGAGTGGATTAAATTTTAAGAGACTGAAATACCAAGTGTTAGCAAAGATAAGGAGCAACTGAAATCTTCCCATACTATAGTAGGAATGTAAAATGATTCAACCACTATGGAGGGCTGTTCAACAATTATTATTATTTTTTTAAGATGGAGTCTTGCTCTGTCACCCAGGCCGGGATGCAGTGGCACGATCTCAGCTCACTGCAACCACTGTTCCCAGGTTCGAGCAATTCTCCTGCCTCAGCCTTCCAAGTAGCTGAGATGATAGGCTCACACTAGCACACCTGGCTAATTTTTGTATTTTTAGTAGAGATGTGGTTTCGGCCATGTTGGGCAGGCTGGTTTTGAACTCCTGACCTCAGGTGATCCACCTGCCGTGGCCTCCCAAAGTGCTGGGATTATAGGCATGAGCCACCATGCCCATATGACAATTTCTTAGAAAGTTAACACTTATTTCAATGGACTGAATACTTACATCCTTGCACAATTCATGTCAAATTCCTAACCCGCAAGGGGTTAGGAATGACATGGGGTCTTGGGGAGGTAACAGAATCACAAGGGGAGAGCCCTCACAATTGGGGTAAGTTTGCTAGTCCATTTCCACCATGTGCAGTTACAGTGAGAAGACATCTACTTACAAAGGAAGCAGGCCCTCACTAGACACCAAATGCTGACACCCTCATCTTGGACTTCCCAGCCTCCAGAACTGTAAGACATAAATTTCTGCTGTTTATATCCCCCGCTATTGATGGTATTTTGTTATGGCAGCCTGAGTGGACTAACACACTTATAACTCAGCAATTAAAGTCCTAGGTACTTACCCAAGAGAAGTAAGAACACATGTGCAAATACATACTTTTACACAAATGTTCAGAGTTTGAAGAGCTGAGACTGGAAACCCAATGACACATAAGTATAAACAAATGATGGCTCATCTATACAGTGGAACAGTATCCAGCGAGAACTACTAAAACACGAAGCAGCTGGTTGAGTCTAAAAGCATACCGAAGTGAAAGACATCAGACACCAAAGAACACATACTAAATAAATCCACTTGTGTGACGTTCTAAACCAAGCAAAACTAATCTCCATGGATACCAAGTGGTCACCTGCAGCTGGAGTCTGCTTAACTAGGAGAGGGTGAAAGGGAACTCTTTTGGGTGACAGAAATGTTGTTCTTGGTTCTGGTGGTGATGGTTAAACCGGTATATGAATTTATCAAAACCCTGTACACTTTAAAATAGGTGTTTTATTATATAAAAACTGAATCTCAGTAAAGTTGATTAAAATGGTAAAACCTACAGCATTTGAAACGTCTCTAGTAATGCTGATTTTCCAGAAAACATAGATGTCTTTTTTGGATTATTTGTCCTCTCAAGGGTTTTAGGGTTCGTAGTATTTGTTAAGAATTCAAACTATGGCCTCATGAGAAAAAAAAATTGTATCATTACAAAACCGGACTTTTGGGGTTCATGTTCAGACTGAGAGTTTTGCCAGGTGGTGGTGTGGACTTTCGGGGTTCATGTTCAGACTAAGAGTTTGCCAGGTGGTGGTGTGGACTTTCAGGGTTCATGTTCAGACTGAGTTGGCCAGGTGGTGGTTCACTGTGTATTTAGTATGCCTGCTTTTGCACAGCCCTAGCAAAAGGGCTGTTGTGACTCCAAGTTTCTTCAGGATCCTATTTTCTCTCCTCTCCTGGATCGTATTTGCTTCTTTAGCTGATCTCTCTGGCTCAGCTGAAATGTCACCTCTTCTGTGAAGCCTTCCCAGCCCCGTGCCACATCAGTCAGCCCCTCATCTGCACCCCTTCACAACTGAGAGAACACACTCGACTCACTGTACTGTGATCTCTGTCTTCCCCATTACACTGTGGGTGACTTCGGGGTGGTGTGTTGCTCATCTGTTCTCCCAACATTAGGACTATTCCATATATATATATCTCTCTCTCTCAATACATTTTTTACTTTTTTAAAGACAGGGTTTCACCATGTTGGTCAGGCTGGTCTTGAACTCCCAACCTCAGGTGATCCGCCCGCCTTAGCCTCCAGAGTGCTTGGATTACAGGGGTGAGCCACCACGCCCAGCCTACATTTTCAAGTAAATGACAAAATGAACCACAGAGCATGGAAAATGACATCTCAATTCAACCTTAGAACTGCAAAAACAGAAGAGTGACATAGTGCATTGAGGCTGTCCCCTTCAAGTGAGACTGATACAGACAAGTGAGTGAAGACTTCTCTTGAGACCTGCCTCCTTCTGTCCCCACTGTTCCAGCTGAGTCAGGTGTCAATGCCCTCCAGCTCACACGGACAGCTCTGCATGAGCTGTAAGGCGGCACAAAGGTGGGCGTGGATGTGCACAGGCTATTGCCTGCAGCTACTGAGTTAAATAGGAGCAGCAGACAGTGGCAGGGCTGAGAAGATACTTCTAACAATCGTAGATTATACTGATACAAAATGAACAAACAACAAAAAAACAGCCAACAGCTGACAATTTTTAGAATGGCAGTATAGAAAGAATAAAGCAAGAGATGGGAATTACACAGATTTGGGGGTGCATTTTTTATTGCCTCGTGCTAGACAGTGGACACACAGAAATCAATCAGACATGATCACTGTCCTCAGGAACTGACAGTATAATGAAAGTCTATCAAGTCATTCTGGCATATGCAAGTATATACAGTAATAGCAGTAACTACTGAGCCACAGAAGCATGGAGAGCACTGCCAGCTAAGCCTGAGGGAAACAGTCCCTGACATGATGTCTGAGGCGTGTCCTGAACCATGATTCGGAGTTAATTAGCTGAGGAGACCCTTCAGTAAGAACCAAGGTGAGAGAGGCAGGAAGCTGCATGGAGCATGGGGAAGAAGCAGCGGTCGGTGTTGCCGCAGCATCAACCGTGTGGCAGGGAGTTAGGCAGAGGGAGACGAGGCTTGAGGAAACAGGAGGCCTTAGGGCACACGTTAGGGTACAGGATGGGAGGCCTGCAGTTCCTCCTAAGGACAACAGAGAAATGGCTTGGGGGTTATCTTTCTTCAACTTAATTTAATAGATCAAAATGTGCTAGGTAACATTCTCCTAAGTAATAAGATTACACACACAGTTCTGCTCTAAAAGGGATTTAACTCAAGGATGGACTGTAACTGTGGATAACATTTTTTTAAAAACCTTTTTTTGAGACCTGTCTCCTCCCTGCCCCCAATATTCCAGCTCAGAGTCAGGGGTCAAGCCCTGTGACTCTCCCAAGGACAGTGCTCACAGCTGAGGAGGAGGGCTAAGTCTGGTAGTGCCACATAGTGGCAGGTGGCACCCACTCCAAAAACAGACCCATCCATGACTCACAAACTTCTGACATGTCCAAATCTTAGACGCCACATGAATCCTAATTCCACGCATTTCTAAACATCACTCATTGGGCAGAAGAATTATTATTTATAAGTTATCTGTGTGTTCCCCGTGATCTGCAGACCTCTCACCCAAATGTATGGGGGCCTTACTCAAGGGAAGTCCCTCTTGGTGAACACTTTGATTATTTTTAAAGTTTGTGGCTGAGTTAAAATCTCTCCCATACTGACTACACTCATAGAGCTTCTCTTCAGTATGAATTTTCTGGTGTTGAAGGAAGTTTGACCTCTGAATGAAGCCTTTCCCACAATAACTACACACATAGGGCTTTTCTCCAGTATGAATAATCTGGTGCAGCAGCAGCTTGGAGCTCTGGATGAAGGCTTTCCCACAGGCTTTACATTCGAAGGGCCTGTCCCCAGAGTGGATCTTCTGGTGCTCAGTGAGATGGGCCTTCTGGAGAAACGCCTTCCCACACTCTTTACATTCATACACCCTCTCTCCAGTGTGGATTTTCTGGTGTCGAATAAGGTATGAACTCAGAAAGAAAGCCTTCCCACACTCATTACATTCATAGAGTTTCTCTCCAGTGTGAATTCTCTGATGCTGGGTGAAGTTTGACGTCTGGCTAAAACGCTTCCCACACTGATTGCATACGTAAGGCCTTTCCCCAGTATGGATCCGCTGATGCTGAATGAGCTTTGAACTCCGAATGAAAGCCTTCCCACACTCATTGCATTCAAAGGGTCTCTCTCCGGTGTGAATTCTCTGGTGCTCAATCAGGTCTGAGCGATGACGGAACGCCTTCCCACATTCTTTGCATTCATACTGCTTCACCTCTGTGTGGATCTGATAATGGCGAATGAGGCTTGAGCTCCTTATGAAGGATTTCCCACACTCATTGCACTCATAGGGCCTTTCTCCTGTATGAATCCTCTGATGACGAATAAGTAAGGAGCTTTGACTGAAGCCTTTTCCACACTCTTTGCATTCAAAAGGTCTCTCTCTGGTGTGAACTCTCTGGTGCCTAATCAGGTCTGAACTGTGACAAAATGCCTTCCCACACTGCGCACATTTGAAGGGCTTTTCTCCCGAATGAACATGCTGATGCTCAATGAGACCTGCATAGCGAATGAAGTCTTTCCCACACACATTACAGACATAGAGTCTCTCTCCAGTGTGAATTCTCTGATGCTCCATGAGGTGTGAGCTCTGGCCAAAGCCTTTCCCACACTGATCACACGTGTAAGGTTTCTCCCCAGCATGCAAAATCCGATGCCTAACTAGGTCCGAATTAAATGTGAAGGTTTTTCCACAGATATCGCAAGGATTGGCTTCCCCCTCTATGAGCTCTCTTTGAAGCATAAGAAGGTCTGAGTTCAGAACAGGGTGTCTCCCTGATTTAGTGCACACTTGAGCTGTCTCCCGTGTTTGGATCTTCCAATGGGTCACTGTCACCTGCTTGCAGCCCCTGTCCTGAGAGGGCGAACTCCCCAGGCTCTGACCTTCTGGATTTCCCAACAGCTCCTCTAATCTGGGCTCACAGACTTTCCCAGACGCGGGGGAGGGGAGCTCCATCGCTGTGACTTTGTCTGACATTGTCCTATGTGAGTTTTCATCCTCAGAAATCCAGGCTTCAGTCACCTTCTTCTCACCAGTTCCTACATTAGAATCTGAAACAAAAGACAACAAAATCATCTCTCCTCACTTCAAGTATGGGGATCTCCTCAATGAGGGCAGGATGAAATTCATCTCCAAGAGGTGGAAAGTGTTCCCTCTGCCCCTCAATCCTGACCCAACATGCTGCTACCCTCAGCTCTGGTCTCACACCCAAGACTGTACCACGCAAGATGGCTTCTTTGTGGCTCCTCTTTTAACATCCGACACCAGGACAGATTGGCCTGTGGTGCACAACACTCCTCTGACCCCTAGTGAATCCTGGATGAGTTGCAGAGGGGTGGGAATATGCTTGGACTCCACCAAAAAACCAAGACAGATATTTTAAACAAATGTAGAAACGTATACCACTGTCACCTCTTCACTGTCCCTCATTCCCTCCTTCATGTCCTATTCTCCCCTCTGTAACTAGCTTAGACTCCATAGTCTGGCACTGTGTTCATTGTAAGTTACATGAGAATCACCCTCCTGCATACAACCCAGGCCCCCTGCCCTTTCCTGCCTCCGTCATGCTTGGATGGGAAAACCCAAGCTTTGGTTAAAACGAGCCTGCGTTCTGATTCATACCTGCACTCTTGCTAACTGAGTTCTTTAAATTCAGAGCTGCTTGCCTAATGGGGCCTGAGAGCTGCCAGTAACTCCTACCCTCCCCACTCCCTGACAGGACCACCCACCTCTCCTGTCTCCTTATAGACCCAGCATTCCCTTCTCCCTCCCCACTAATGACCTTGCTTCTTGCTTCATTGAGAAAACAGAAGAAATGAGCCAGGGACAGGCACTGCCTGCCACATCTCCTGCTAGCCTGTATCTCCACCCATCCTCTGCCAGGCTTGTTACCTGCGTTAAACTGTTCTTGATTTGACCTAAGATCAACACTTCCACTTGTGTGGGAGCTCCCTTTCCCTCTCACACGTGCAGGGACAGCACTTGAGCACCCGCTCCTCTCCCCGATCCTGAAGTCTTCGCCCTCCAAGCCCACCACTCTCCTCATCATAAAGAAACTCACCAGTTCCCAGCTACCCAAAACATGCATTTCTTGGGCCCCATGTCCCACTAATTACCACCCCATGACTCTCCTCCTCTACAGACCCATTCAAAGAGCCCTCACCCATGCTCCATTTCTCCATTTCCTCCTTGAGTCCACTGCAGTGGGGCTGTCACCCCAAAAATGCACCATATCACCAGATCAGGGGTCAGCTGTGACCACACTTCCAACTCAACCTGCGGCGGCACTGACACAGTCCCAATCCTTCAAAAGTCACTCTCCTATGTAAACCTGGGACAGCTTCTCTCTGTTCACTAACCGCCTCACCGACAGCTTTGACGCCTCAAGGTCCTGGCGTGTCTAGGGCTCAGCCCTCATCTATGTCTATTACAGAGGGAAGTGCACTCATTATTGAACACCAATGCCATCTATGCTGAAGACTCACATGCCTGCCTCCAACCTGGCCTTCTTCCAGCCCCCACATCTGACCAGCTCACCTGACACCTTCATTCAGGTGCTCTCAGAAGTTTTTCAACCCCAATGCATCCAGCCTCACTTCTGATTTTCCTCCTTCTACGGTTTTCTCCATTATCTCATTTGTTCAGGCCACAGATGCTGCAATAACCCTTGACTACTTTTCCCTTTGTTCACACTCCACATCTGTTCAAAACCATGCCCAGTGCCAGATCCCCCCCAAACTACAGGGCCGCCATCTGCACTGCCTTACGCCACAAAGTGTGACTGCCTCCCTTCCACCTTCTTACTTCTCCCCTTCTCCAGTGTTTGAGATGGAGTCTTGCTCTGTTGCCCAGGCTGGAGTGCAGTGGCACAATCTTGGCTCGCCACAATCTCTGCCTCCTGGGTTCAAGTGATTGTCCTGCCTCAGCCTCCTGAGCAGCTGGGACTTCAGGCGTGTGCCACCATGCCTGGCTAATTTTTGTATTTTTAGTAGAGACAGGGTTTCACAATGTTGGCCAGGCTGGTCTCAAACTCCTGACCTTGTGATTCACCTGCCTTGGCCTCCCAAAGTGCTGGGATTACAGGTGTGAGCCACCAAGCCTAGCCAGAGTCTCCAACTGTTTTCTACACAATCAGCAAAATTACACTTTAAAATCATAAATCAAATGTCACTTTTCTACTCAAAACTTACAAGGGTCTCCCATCCCCTATTCAGGCCCCACAAGGGCCCCTGGGCCTGGACTCCTACTGCCTCACCCTGCCCTCCCCTTCCCCCTTCTTTGTCACACTGGCCTCTGCAGTCCCTGCCCACTCAGAGCCTTTGCACTTTAGTAGAAAGACTCCAAAGCTATTTGCATGTTTCACCCCCAGATGTCCTTCAGGTATCTGTGTTGACGTCACCTGATTGGAGTCCTTCCTAGTCACACTATGAAACGAAACAGCAAGCCACCCCCATCCTTAGCATTCCCTCTCCTGCCTCTGCTTCCTCTGCACAGTTCTGACCACTTGACCAATCATTAAGTCACCCAATCAAAGCAGCCGTCGATTGTGGCTATACACTATTCTATGTACCATGAAGGAAAATAAAAGTGCCAATTTAAATGAAAACCCTCCATCAAGTCAGGCACAGTGGCGCACTCCTGTGATCCCAAGACTCTAGGAGGGAGAGGTAGGAGGATCACTTGAGACCAGGAGTTTAATATCTGCCTGGGCAAGACAGAGAGATCCCATCTCTACAAAAAAATTTTTAAAAATAGCCAGGCAAGGTAGCACACCTGTGGTCCCAGCTACATTGGAGACTGAGGCAGGAGGATCACTTGAGCCCAGGAAGTTGAGACTGAGTGAGCCATGCTTGTGCCACTGCATTCCAGCCTGAGTGACAGAGTAAGACTCTGTCTCAAACAACAACAAAAGACACTCCATCAATTCTAACAGGAATTCAATTTCAGAGTTATTAAAATATGGAGATGGTGTGTCTTAGAATCAATGAATTGTGATATATACATGTCTGCATGTATACATCACAAATGTGAGTGAGTGTGGGCAGGGATTTTGTTCTGTTCTTTGTCCTCAGCAACCCAAACAATTCTTGGCATAAAGCAATACACTTCATAAGTATCTGTTGCATGAATGAATGTTCTAATCATGCAAACATAATACGCTCAACACATGGTAATAAGCCAGGTACAGTGGCTCATGCCTGTAACTTCAGCGTCTCCAGTGGCCAAAGCAGGACTGCTTCAAGCCAGGAGTTCAAGACCAGCCTGGGCAACATAGCAAGACCCCATCTCTAAAAAAAATTTTTTTTAAATTAGCTGGATGTGATGTTGCATACCTGTGGTCCCAGCTACTCGGGAGGTTAAGGCAGGAGAATGGCTTGAGCCCTGAAGTTTGAGGCTGTAGTGAGCCATAATTGTGTCAAGGAACTCCAGCCTAGGTGACAGAGTAAGACCCTGTCTCTAATTTAAAAAAAAAAAAAAAGCTCCAACACTTCTATTATTAAACACTGAAATAAAAGTGTTATACACACCTTTAAGAAAGATAGTTTAGCAGTGCTTACTATAGCTCTTTTAGAATGTCTAGCAGGTTTCTCAGTTTTTACTGGAAAATCTCCCATAAAAAAATTAAGAGAAATAAATAAGACAATTATTTACCCACTTATTTTAATGCAGGGTCCTGGGTGGCTGAAGCCTATCCTGGCAGCTCAGGGTGCAAGGCAAGAACCAGGCTGAATAGGACAGGGTTCCACCAAAGGACAACTCACATACCCACACTCGCTCACACTGGGACCAAGGAGACACCCCAATTCACCTAATGTACATCTTTGGGACATGGAAGGAAAGTCAGGCAGACATGGGGAGAATGTGCATACTCCACACATGGTGTTCCCAGCCAGGAATCACTTTTTCCCTCATTGATGACATAATCAAACAATGCTATTTGAGGCCTTGCTATGTCAGAAAGGGAAGCAGCAGCTGGAATCCACTCTCTGAAAGCTGAAAGAGGAGACCAAAGGAATGGTGGCTGCTGTGAGGGAAAGTCTCTTTCCTGGCACCTGCATTTTACCAGCCTGAAGTCTGAGGATTTGTATTTTCTTTCTTTTTTTTTTTTTTTTTCCCAAGACAGGGTCTTATTCCGTTGCACAGGCTGATCGCACAGTGGTGCGATCTCAGCTCACTGCAACCTCTGCCTCCCAGGTTCAAGCAATTCTCGTATATTTTTAGTAGAGATGGAGTTTCTCCATGTTGGCCAGGCTGGTCTCCAACTCCTGGTCTGGAGTAGTCCACCCACCTTGGCCTCCCAAAGTGCTGGGGTTACAGGGGTAAGCTACTACACCCAGGCTTATATTTCCTTTTTAATTTCCATACATATTCTGCTTATGCACTGAGGACCCATTAATGCAGCTCTCAGGAGAAAGCTGACTGCCTTGCCTCAAGAGCCTTCTCTGTGGGGTTCTTGCTGGGCAGTGGGAGCCAGGCCACTGCGAAGATCAGTAATGCTGCTTTCCCACCCATTACTACCGTCTCTGATACCTCAAGGCTGCTGCCAATACAACGAGAGAGGGGGGATCAGCTCAGCCCAGAAGCTAGTAAATAAAACTAGAGGTTCTGTTGGTTTACAAACCAGAGCTGCGCCAGGTGCGATGGCTTAGGCCTATAATCCCAGCACTTTGGGAGGCTGAGGTGGGCGGATCACTTGAGGTTAGGAGTTTGAGACCAGCCTAGCCAACATGGTGAAATCCCATCTCTACTAAAAATACAAAAAATCATCCAGGCATGGTGGCACACACCTGTAATCCCAGCTACTCGGGAGGCTGAGTCAGAATTGCTTGAACCCACGAGGCAGAGGTTGCAGTGAGCCGAGATCGTGCCACCATACTCCAGCCTGGGTGACAAAGTGAGACTCCATCTCAAAAAATAAATAAATAAATAAAAATAATGGGATGCACTGGTAGCAAGCAGCCCCAATGGTGATATTTTCAAGGGAATTAGGGTGCTGGAGAAACAGTAAGCCTGCCCTGTAGAAGTCTGTAGCTAGAGTGTTCTCAACAAC